AGACCCTAATCCTACCTGCTTTTCCTGCTTCCCCCTCCCTGATTTCTCCCCCAAACATTCCCCCCTTCCACACCCTAAAGCCCCCATATATAAAGTCCCAGCTCACAACCCATGGGCGGACATCTTTCCCTGACATCTCATCCTTCCCTGACATCTTTCCCTTCCCTTCCCTTCCCTTCCCTTCCCTTCCCTTCCCTTCCCTTCCCTTCCCTTCCCTTCCCTTCCCTTCCCTTCCCTTCCCTTCCCTTCCCTTCCCTTCCCTTCCCTTCCCTTCCCTTCCCTTCCCTTCCCTTCCCTTCCCTTCCCTTCCCTTCCCTTCCCTTCCCTTCCCTTCCCTTCCCTTCCCTTCCCTTCCCTTCCCTTCCCTTCCCTTCCCTTCCCTTCCCTTCCCTTCCCTTCCCTTCCCTTCCCTTCCCTTCCCTTCCCTTCCCTTCCCTTCCCTTCCCTTCCCTTCCCTTCCCTTCCTTTCCTTTCCCTTCCCTTCCCTTCCCTTCCCTTCCCTTCCCTGACATCTTTCCCTTCGCTGACATCTTTCCCTTCCCCGAGGGAAAGGTGCCCTGTGCGAAATAAATCTGTATCCCGCTGAGAATTCCATCTGTGCCTCGGTGCCTCCTCCATCTGCACCACCCACTCCCTCTCTCCTCCAAACCTATCAATAATCAGATACATAGAGATTAAAGACACATGTGCAAACATCTAAGCGTTAATAGCATTAAATATGTAGGAAACAGCATATTTTAAAATGAAATGGAAATCTTCGTTAAGGGGTAAAAACTCATTCAATTTTATGTCTTACGGGGTTTATACTGAGTTCAAAATTGTATAACCGTATTAAACTGTGAACCTAAAAATTTGCAGCCACTTTTGAAAGAGATGTATCCTTGCTCTGGGAATTGTTACTGAATATGTTAAAGCTGTATTGAAATGCTTCCTCTAATCATCTGGTTATTAAACAAAAAATATATACATGAAAAAAAAAGAATTCCAGATTCATTATGTATAGGGCCTGCCATGGACATGGGAGTTGGACATTTTTTTAAGTTCATGGATGCATTGCTAGTAAGTCAGTTGATTTAACAGTTTTTCTTCCATGTGGTTAAAATTAATTTCTGGGTCCCTGATACAGAATCAGTATAGTGGGTTATATCTATGTGTACACTGGTAGAATAATAAATAAATACCAAGAAATCTCTGTATTTTTTGCTGAAATATGATGAAAAGATAACTCATTTGTGGTTCAAAAGAAAAGGTTCATGGGGTTCACAGTTCAGTGATTAAGAGCACTGGCTACTCTTGAAGAGGACCCAGGTCGATTCCCAGCACCCACATGGCAGGTAACAGCTGTTTATAACTCCAGTTGCTGGGGATCCAACCCCCTCTTCTGACCTCTATGGGCATTGCATGACATGGGTGCTCTTACATACATGCAGGTAATACCCTCATATACATAAAATAAAAATAATAAAAAAAATTTAAAGGTTTAAAAAAAGAAACTAACCTAAATATCCACAAGCTAAAATACCTATAAATAGCCACAAAGATAAGACTACATGAGAGACACATAAGGAAAGGAATAATGATATGACTCAGTTCAAAAAAATTTTTTTTTTTTGTCTTTTTGAGACAGGGTCTCCCTGTAGCCCCAGCTGTCCTGGAACTCAGTATGTAGACCAGGCTGGCCTTGAACTCACAGAGATCTGCCTGCCTCTGCCCCTGGGATTAAAGGCGTGTGCCACCACACCCGGCTCAAATATTTTTAAAAAATTTATTGCATTTCATTTATTTTGAATGTGTACAGATGTTGTAAATGCCATGGTGCCCATATGGAGGTTAAGGGACAACTTGGGGGAACTGGTTCTCTCTCCCATCATGTGGGTTCCTGGAATCCTTGGCAGCATGTGCCTTCACCTACGGAGCTATCTTGCTGGCCCTCAGTTCAAATACCACATATGAAATGCTACAAGTCTAATATTTACAGTAGAATAAAGAATTTCAGGGACTTGGCTGGGTATACAGCTGAAAAACCTGGAACTGAATTCTGCTTACATTTACTGAAACAGTATTTACTTAATTAGACTATTTCTCAGGGCTCTCATGAAAATAACTGAGGAAATAAAGGTATTTTGCAATCATGTTTTGTGTTAAAATGTAATTTTGGGGCAAAGATTTAAAATATTTAAATAAATTCAAAAAAGTTTATGTATTATTTTCATAACCTTTCCTTTTGCTATGTGGAAACGGTGGAAAGAACAGGGAGGTCAGAGTGATCCCTTTCCTTGAGAAGCTCTCAGTACCTAAGTGAAGGGAGAAGGATGGTGGGCTCAAATCAGCTGCTCCTTGCAAGGCTCAGACCCCAAATCCATCAATTGAGAACAGAGTATTCCAGGGGCACTACTGACATTCTGGGCTAGATAATTCTTTTGAGGGAGAGAGAATTCATTTTGTGAGTGGTAGGATTTGAACAGCATCCCTGACTCTAGCCATTAGTGGTGATTACTCTGCCCACCACTGCCTACTCCCTGTAGGGACAACTGCAAATGGGATGTGGGCAATGCTGATCTAGAATACTCGGTGGAAGGCGTTACAGTACATGGCCAAATACCCTATCTGGGAGGTTCATTGCTGATAGATTAGGTGAGTTGCTCTTCAGAAGCTCTTGGCCCAAACGTACTTGCTTACTCAAGGTTATGTCACTTTGAGGCTTGCCATGTCAAATGACTGGCTGATAGGATCGAAAGCACTAATGTCCATCCCTTGTTTTCCTATGGGACAGTTATTCTTTTTATAGGTGGGGGAGGCAAAGGATTTATTTGGCTCACTCTACCAGGTTACAGTCCATCACTGAAAGAAGTCACGGCAGGAACTGAGCAAGAACTCAATCAGAAACTATGGAGGAACACAGCTTATTGGCTTGTTCTCTGGTTCAATATCAGGCTCATGCTTAGCTGGCTTTCTCACAGAGCCCAGGACCACTGGCCTACAAAGAGTACTACCCACAATGGGCTTGGTCCACTTGTACCAATAAATTCTCTGAACATGAAAATGAAAAACACAACTAATAAACAGTTTTATGGTCTTTTAGTCGATGCCCACAACTGCAGTGCTTCATTTTTAACATATGTTTAACTGCTACTTTTTATTAAACTCATATTAGGAAGAGAGGAATAAGCTTGTCACATGTGGTTTGTGTTATACACTAACTGTTCCCTGTCAGATGGTGAGTTAAAAAAGACAACATTGGGAGAGAAGAATTTAATGTAAGTCTAGCTTATGAAAATCCCTGGTTTGAGTAAAAATTACTTCTGTTTGAGAGAATTTGGGACATGTTCCTGCAGAGAATTTTTCAAGGCACACTGGAGTTTGAACTGAATAGCATCACGGTGAGGCCCCGCTTCAAGCACAGCCCCTGATGTACCAAAGTACAGCTCCATCTCTACACATCCGGGTTCTTTTCAGGGCTTATAAAGGACAGTTATTTCTAACTCCAAAGCTGCTCACAGAAGAGGTGAAGGTCTCTATAAAGACATTACAGGTCGGCTTTCCTCTCTTCTCTGCCTTCATCCTTTCCTTATGTGTTGTTCTCAAGAGCATTCCCTAAAACCCACACTGGTGACGAATCTCTGAGTTTCACTAGAAAAAGACAGCAATAAAATCTTGACTCCTACTTGTAGTATCTGTGCTTTTCAAAGGTCATTTCCTAGGTGATTAAAAGCAGAAAGATACATAGTGAATAGAAAAGAAAGCTAATGGGAATTACTAAAACAAACATCTCATCGTTACAAATTCAAATGTTAGTCAACAGAGAATTTAAAATAATAAGTTAATTATTTCTGGGTAAATCCTACCATGTTACAGACACATACACACACACACACACACACACACACCCTCATCTGCCAAATCCTCTCAACTGCCCTGTGGAGTAGGAATTAAGGCTCTTTGTCTAAGATCCATAGCAACTATTAGCATCAAAGTGCAATCCTGGTCCACTCAACTCCAGGGTTTGCTGCCTGATAGCTGGGTTATATTCACAGCCTTCTCATAAGGCCTCTCTTGTTGGCCCTATTTTTATCTCCTTCAAAATCATCCTCATATTGCTGAAGAGATGTTTCTCAAATATAACTCTGACCATGTCTCTTCTAATTTGGAACTTTTTTATCTTTTGGATAAAGTTCAAAGTCCTTAAGATGCCCTTTAACTGCAACATCTTTTATGGTTTGGTCCATGATTATCTCCCTAGCCTTATGCCTTACCCCTCCAATTGAATCCTGAAAGCACCCACCAATACTTTCTAAAATGGATAGATGTTTATGTAATGATTATAAATACTTTATTTTCTTAGCAAATAAGTGCTACCACTTTCTGAGCCTGTTTATGTTCCAGAACCCATGAGAGGCACTTTATATATATATTATTTCATTTACTTCTCACAATAACCTTATAAAATAAGTTAAATTATTCTTTTACATTTTAGGAAGCTAAAAATTATGTTAAGGTAGATCTTTAGCAAAGTTAATGGCAGAACCAGGATATGAATTTAAATCTGAGTCTTAAATGTTCAACGACAACACAAGTCAGTGAATGCTTATTAAAGTAACTAGATCATTATCTTCTTCATTCCACGAAAACCTAGAATGCATAGATGTCTGGGGTAAATATATATATAGAAGCACTGTAATGTCAGAGATCCCTGAAAATGATCAATTGTGCACCTACCTGCATGAGATCTTGAAGGCTCTCAAGAAAAGAAATCTCTGCTTCTACCATATAAAACTCTGCCAGGTGTCTCCGACTCTGAGAATTCTCAGCTCGGAATGTTGGTCCAAAGGTAAACACTTGCGTAAAAGCCCTGCAATTCAAGATTAAGAGCATGAAACTAGAATTCACGTGATTAATTGTAAGTATTTAAAATACTTTGTGCACTTAAGAAAAAAAGTTTTGCGTCTATGTCATGCCCACACATATTAGCTGCTCTATCTCTCTAATGGGGAATAATAATAGTTTCATTAAAAATGTTACATTTATAGAAACCATTTTATCCCAAAGGAATCTGCAACTGCTTTATAAACCCTATGGTTTTCTAAATATAGAAATATAACCACTTCTGGGTGCACTTTACTGCAGCTGCCTTCAACAGCAGGCAACTATATTTCACAGCAATCAAGAACAAAGTAAAGGAAAAATACCACATCCCAAGAAGCCATGGGGTCTAGTTAGTAACTCGTGAAAACTAGAATTCATGTGGTACTCACTTATTTTTTTGTATATACAAAGAAAGGATGTCACGAATGTTTAACAATCCCAAAAGACATGGGTTATTAAATAAAAATCTCAGTGCCAGGCATGTAAACTGTTGGTCAGGGAGATCCCAGAGGCCCCAAAATGACACAGAATATTTCCTCCACTCTTGGTTGCCCAGCCTAACTAGTCTGTAAGACCTTATTGTTAACAACACAACTTACTTTGGTTGTAGAACACAGAGAATTTAAACTAGAAACTGAACTGAAAAATTCCTCCCTGCTGGCTAGTTTTCATAGCACAGGAAGGTGCTATACAGCCCAGTGGGGGAGGAAAGACATCAATGGTCTTAACCCAGGACAGGACCCTGAATGCTATAATACCAACCCACCAGGCAAGATGTGACCACTGCTACAATAGTGTCATAAAGGTTATAGGGGTAACTAACTGCTCTCTGATTGGATCTGAGGCCTTCTTCACAGGAGGGAATTTGTGTCTGGTACTGTAAACCTGGCCCAAACCCCATGGCTCAGGAGGTCATGGGTTGTAGTAGATGGTAATCTACTACCACTGTTTTGCTTTAAATGCACATGTTGTTAAACTGCTGCTAAACATTTATATTTATACCCATATGTTAGTGTTGCTCTCAATCTTAACTAGAGAAGCCACTTTCTCCTGTGGGGAGCAATACAGAGACTTAACAGCTGGTCAAATCGCTCAAATAAGTGACTGTTGAGTACTCAGTACTAGATGGCACATCTATATCAACCCCACCCCCCTTCTACCAAAGGCTCAGGGAACATCTCAGAAGAAGGAGCAGAGAGAATGTCTGAGGTGGAGGATGGACTGTCTTCTGGACATGATATGGCCGTTGCACTCATGAACTCAGTACAGCAAGTGGTAAGGTCCACAAGACCAGTTAACATTCCAGCAGGCAGCACTAACTGGACTCAGTGGGTTACAAAAAGGACATGAAAGTAAGAGGGGCATGTGGCAGCAGGTGTGAGGGGGGGAGTGGGGATGATACCATCAAGACCCATGATATACATGCATGGAAATGTCAATAAATAAACGGTACTCTGAAAAAGGTACAATTCACTTTATTTCTATTTCAAGCCTACTTAAGTTTTTACAACCACCTATATCTTCCATCTGATACTGAGGAGGTTAGGAAAGATTTTTGAAGAACTGACTACCCTCTCAATTTCAAAAAGGACCACCACTCAACTACTCAAATAAGGGAGGAGGAAATCACTCTGACTTTTAAATTCCTCCAAGAGATGGATGCTATATCTTCATTCTTTAATAAGCATAGTCACTCTCATATTCAAACAAGGCAACACCTGAAATTAGATAAGCACATATATATCATATATGATATACATCATATACATATTATATATATGAATATCTTGAGGGTTTAATCTTAAATTCTATTTTTGTAAACAAGAGGTTTAGGGAATTTCTTATCTGTACTCTTTTTAAAAAAATTTATTATTTTTATTTTATGTATATGAGTATATTGCCTGCATGTATGTAAGTGCACCTGTGTTGTGCCAATGCTTGCGGAAATCAGAAGAGGGTGTTGGATTCCCCTGGAATTGGAGTTACATACAGTTGTTAGCTACCATGTGGGTGCTGAGATTCAAACCTGGATCCTCTGCAAGAGTAGCCAGTGCTCTTAACTGTTGAGCCATCTCTCAGCCCCTCATCTGTGATTTTAAACTCACTTTATTTTTGTCATTAGTCAAATAACACTAAGGTCAGTACACATAGTGTAGAAAATACCTGAATTTAAAAATATATACCAATTTTGTTTTGAAGATATTCTGGGAATGAGAAAATGAAAATATTATAGTAGAAATCTCCAGCTTCTTTTTTTCCTTCTCCAAGACCATTTCATTTGGTAAGAAGCTTAGGAGTCTAAGTTTTGATTCTGCATTCCCCTTCTTGAGACCATAATCAGTTACCTGATGACAACCTTAGTTTTTAACAGAAAAATTAACACAAAAATTCAAAACATCACTATAATAACCTCTCTTCCAAGATTCAGATCCAGATCTGTCTATTGAGATGGTCCTAAAAAGACCAAATTTACATTGTGCAAGATGAACAATCTTGCCTTTATTTGTTTACTTTTTATTTTATTTTACTTTTTTAAGCTTTTTTTTAAAGCACTTTTTTAGTGCTTCTTGGGGCTAGATCACCCTTGACTCCAGTTCCAAAAGAATCCGAAGCTCTCTTTTGACTTCCTCTGCATCGCATGACATGGGTGCACTCACAGACATGCAGGCAATACATTCGTACACATAAGATAATAAAAATAATAAATAAAATTTTTTAAAAAGTAAAAAAAAAAAAAGATAGTGCTTTTCTATGTAGCCCTGACTGGCCTGAAACTCGCTATGTAGACCAAGAAGATGTCCTTGAATTCACAGAGAGTCACCTGCCTCTGTCTCTAGAGTACTGGATTAAGGGTATGCACTACCACAAAACTGGCTCTGGCTTTTCTTTTAACATTTCCCTCAGTTGTTAATCTACTTAGTTACAAGCACCCCCCAACGCTTACTGCAAGCAGATCCAGTATCATTTTGATTACAACATTCAATTCTTTACACTTTGGAAAACCCTCTCAAATCTACTGACTTATCTCTACAGTGAAAACCTTTGTCTCTGGCTTAGAAAATAACAGTGTTCTTTTGCTTTGTTGTTTGAGACAGAGTCTAGTTATATGGCCTAGGCTAACGTTGAACTCTTCAAACTCCAGTAGGTGTCCCCCCACCCAGGGATGAGATTATAGGCATGCACTAACCAAGCCCAACAAATAGCTTTCTGGCTGGTGTCTGTTTCTTGTCTTCCTTTGGCCCCAAACTACTATGAGTTTTCAAAATTAAATCTGATTATGTCAGCTCTAATTTAAAAATCTTCAATGACTCTCCATTGCTAAAAAAGATAAAATTCAAAGTCCTACTCTCTCCTTATGTAGCCTTTTATCTCCAGCCACTCTGATTCATTCTCCTTATCTAGCATGTCCCTGAACCTTTAGGTCCCTGCAGCGAATATTCTTTAACCTGTAATGTCCTATCCCCCCTCCCCCATTTATTTTCCCTCCTGTTTATTTTTATAACTCTCTATTCATATATTTAATGTCTTACCTTTGAAATGTAATTAGGTTTTAAAATAGTCTCCTGACAGTCAAACCATGAAATTTTCCAGACCAGAATCATATTTTATTCATCCCCAGTCCTCGCTAAAGCAGGTGTTCCTGCGGAATGAATGAGTACCAATGATGACAGGCCTCAGCATCAACTGGAAGGCACAGCATCCTCAACAGCAACATGACAACGGGAGCAAAACACTCAGATACGTTTTTCTGAGGCTTAGTACTGAAAATGGGTACTAAAATAGGTATCTAAAATAGGCCAAATAATTCAAGTGTATCCCAAACAATAAATTCAAATGTTACAAGCCACTGGGTTTCCCTTCCAAGGGCTATGTTATCTGAGGCAGGTTGGCAACAATCTATCTAATTTTTTTTTTTTTTGTCTTTTTGAAGCAGGTCTCCATGTAGCCCCCAGCTGTCCTGGAACTCACTATGTAGACCAGGCTGGCCTTGAACTCACAGAGATCCGCCTGTACTCTGCTTCCCAAGTGCTGGGACTACAGCCGTGCACCACCACGCCTGGCTGTTTTTTTTTAAAACAGTATTTATTTCTGGTATTGCATCACATAAACCCAGATGTCAACTAACATTAAAGTGAAATTTTCTATGGCATAAATACATAGGTAGCATAGCTGAAATTTACTTTGGAGGTTATGAGTTATAAGGGAAGGTAGCTGGATTGCTATTCAAAAGAGACATGCTATTTGTATTAAAGTATTAGGCACAAACACTGTTTTATAACCAGAACACCAAACTGAAATCACAAGGGCAACCAACTCTCACATGGCAAATCCACGTAGGATGCTATGGAAGAGTAGAAATAGATGTTTATTTTATTTTATTTTTTGGTTTTTTGAGACAGGGTCTCTCTGTAGTTACAACTGGCCTAGAACTTGCTATGTAGACCAGGCTAGCCTTGATCTCACAGTGATCTGCCTGCTTCTGACCCTCAAGTGCTGGGACTAAAGGCGTGCACCACCACACCCAGCTAGATGTTTATTTTTGAGGCAAGGTCTCACGAGGCTGGCTTTAAATTCTTATGTAGCTTCAAATTCCTCAAAATCCCTTATGAGGATGTCCTTTAACTTAGGATCCTCTTGCCTCCACCACCCTAGTTTCTAGGATTACAGGCATGTACCACTATGTCCAGTTTATATAGCACTGGGGATCCAACTTAGGGCTTTGTGTATGAAGGCACACACTCTACCTTGTAAGATATATTCCTGGCCCCAGATTTTTTAATTATAGTAATTCCTGGCCCAGAATTTTTAATTATAGTAAAGACTAGGCTCTGAGTGAGGTGTTCAGGATTTAAGTAACACCGTAAATCAGAAATGATGACAGCAGTCCTTCATCTGAATTAACAGACAGATAAAATAAGATGGGAGATATATGGAAAAATTGCCTAATTCAGCATCCAGCTTTTAGGTAGAGGGATGTTTAAGCCA